ATATGTAATTGCCCTCTTTACCATTTTTTTCTCAAGAAAAGCCTTGGTATCCTCTCGCATCAAGTTTTCTTCATTATTTTATTACCCATATTTCAAAATACTCCCCATCTTTCCATATGATGTTCCAAAATTTGTAGCAATGTCAAGAACAGTTCGTGAGCCGACAACCTCTATAAACGCTTTTCATTTGTCTAGGGAGATAACCACTTAAAACAGAGCCTCCAAAAGGCAGCCAGACCATTAATCAACGTCCATGAAAGTTCTATTTTTCTTAAATTTCTTATGCCACTGAAAAACCAGTAACTTAATGAATTTTTTTTCCAGCCAATGTCAATAATATACGCATTTAAGATAGAGTGATCCTGGGATTTTCACAAAACTTATGACTTGACGGAAATTTGACTTTGTCTAACAACTTAAAGATAAACAATAAATCATCAACTAATACACTAAATATCCAGTAAAATCAGTTCAACTCTCACACAAAGGTTTATAAAAGATCAAGCAATCGTAATAATGACATAATTTTCGTTTTATATACCACATAGGGCGGTTTTATTCTTATTTCACGTATTAAGAATTAAAATGATAATCAACGCGTTAATGTCTCCCCCGCATTTCCAAACAACCGTTTTGATGGCAACTGTCATATAGTTCCTATTATAAATATTTAAAACCTTATTTTATTTAAAATATTCAACAAGTGTCTATATTCTCATTTTTAATTTTCAACCAATTTCACTTATAAATAAATAAAATATGAAGAAATTCCACGAACTTTTGGATCAACCCTCGTATATAATTATGTTCTTAGTAATTAAATAATTCTAATGTATAATATACAAGGGGCGTTCAATAAATAATGTCATTGGGGCTTGGAAAGAAACAAAAAATGCTTTTCTATTATTTAGTCTTAATGATTTAACTAAAATATTCTTTTTAGCTCACGTGAGCCGAAGGCTCAAGTGAGCTTTTCTGATCACATTTTGTCCGTCGTCCGTCCGTCTGTCCGTCCGTCTGTCTGTCTGTCCGTCCGTCCGTCTGTAAACTTTTCACATTTTCGACTTCTTCTCAAGAACCAATGAGCCAATTTTAACCAAACTTGGTACAAAGCATTCTTGGGTAAAGGGGAGTTTAAATTGTAAAAATGAAGGGCCGAGTCCTCTTACAAGGGGAGATAATCAAGAAAAAACAAAAATAGGGTGGGGTCACAAAAAAATCTTCTTCTCAAGAACCACTGGGCCAGGAAAGCTGAAACTTATGTGGAAGCATCCTTGGGTAGTGTAGATATTAAATTGTTAAAATCATGACCCCCGGGGGTAGGGCGGGGCCACAATAGGGAATCCAAGTTTTACATAGAAATATATAGAACAAATCTTTAAAAATCTTCTTCTCAAGAACCACTGGGCCAGGAAAGCTGAAACTTATGTGGAAGCATCCTTGGGTAGTGTAGATATTAAATTGTAAAAATCATGACCCCCGGGGGTAGGGCGGGGCCACAATAGGGAATCCCAGTTTTACATAGAAATATATAGAACAAATCTTTAAAAATCTTCTTCTCAAGAACCACTGGGCCAGGAAAGCTGAAACTTATGTGGAAGCATCCTTGGGTAGTGTAGATATTAAATTGTTAAAATCATGACCCCCGGGGGTAGGGCGGGGCCACAATAGGGAATCCCAGTTTTACATAGAAATATATAGAACAAATATTTAAAAATCTTCTTCTCAAGAACCACTGGGCCAGGAAAGCTGAAACTTATGTGGAAGCATCCTTGGGTAGTGTAGATATTAAATTGTTAAAATCATGGCCCCCGGGGGTAGGGCGGGGCCACAATAGGGAATCCCAGTTTTACATAGAAATATATAGAACAAATCTTTAAAAATCTTCTTCTCAAGAACCACTGGGCCAGGAACGCTGAAACTTATATGGAAGCATCCTTGGGTAGTGTAGATATTAAATTGTAAAAATCATGACCCCCGGGGGTAGGGCGGGACCACAATAGAGAATCCCAGTTTTACATAAAAATATATAGAACAAATATTTAAAAATCTTCTTCTCAAGAGCCACTGGGCCAGGAAAGCTGAAACTTATGTGGAAGCATCCTTGGGTAGTGTAGATATTCAATTGTTAAAATCATGACCCCCGGGGGTAGGGCGGGGCCACAATAGGGAATCCAAGTTTTACATAGAAATATATAGAACAAATCTTTAAAAATCTTCTTCTCAAGAACCACTGGGCCTCAAAAGCTGAAACTTATATGGAAGCATCCTGGGGTAGTGTAGATATTAAATTGTTAAAATCATGACCCCCGGGGGTAGGGCGGGGCCACAATAGGGAATCCAAGTTTTACATAGAAATATATAGAACAAATCTTTAAAAATCTTCTTCTCAAGAACCACTGGGCCTGGAAAGCTGAAACTTATATGGAAGCATCCTTGGGTAGTGTAGATATTAGATTGTTAAAATCTTGACCACCAGGGTTAGGGCGGGGCCACAATAGGGAATCCAAGTTTCACATAGAAATATATAGAACAAATCTTTAAAAATCTTCTTCTCAAGAACCACTGGGCCAGGAAAGCTGAAATTTATGTGGAAGCATCCTTGGTAGTGTAGATTCTAAAGTTTTAAAATAAAAAAGGGAAGGGGGTTGTTGGGCATGATAGGTATAGCAAGAGGGGGAATCTGGTAAAGATCTGCATCACCCAAGTTACTCAGGTGAGCGATGTGGCCCATGGGCCTCTTGTTTTAATTAAAACACATGTCCGTAACAATTTTATTCAATTTCTAATTTTTTTAGAACACATTTTTAGCTCACCTGAGCCGAAGGCTCAAGTGAGCTTTTCTGATCACATTTTGTCCGTCGTCCGTCCGTCCGTCTGTCTGTCTAGCTGTCTGTCTGTCTGTAAACTTTTCACATTTTCGACTTCTTCTCAAGAACCACTTGGCCAATTTTGACCAAACTTGGTACAAAGCATCCTTGGGTGATGGGGAATTTAAATTGTTAAAATAAAGGGCCAAGTCCCCTCACAAGGGGAGATAATCAAGAAAAGACAAAAATAGGGTGGGGTCATTAAAAAATCTTCTTCTCAAGAACCACTGGGCCAGAAAAGCTGAAACTTATGTGGAAGCATCCTGGGGTAGTGTAGATTTTAAATTGTTCAAATCATGACCCCCGGGGAAGGGTGGGGTCACAATGGGGAATCAAAGTTTTACATAGAAATATATAGGAAAAATCTTTGAAAATCTTCTTCTCAAGAACTACTGGGCCAGAAAAGCTGAAACTTATATGGAAGCATTTTGGTATAGTGTGGATTCTAAATTGTTCAAATCATGACCCCCGGGGGAAGGGCGGGGCCACAATGGGGAATCAAAGTTTTACATAGGAATATATATAGGAAAAATCTTTGAAAATCTTCTTCTCAAGAACCACTGGGCCAGAAAAGTTGAAACTTATATGGAAGCATCCTGGGGTAGTGTAGATTCTAAATTATTCAAATCATGACCCCCAGGGGAAGGGCAGGGCCACAATGGGGAATCAAAGTTTTACATAGGAATATATAGGAAAAATCTTTGAAAATCTTCTTCTCAAGAACCACTGGGCCAGAAAAGCTGAAACTTATATGGAAGCATCCTAGCCTGGTATTGTGTGGATTCTAAATTGTTGAAATCATGACCCCCCGGGTGAAGGGTGGGGCCACAATGGGGAATCAAAGTTTTACATAGAAATATATTACTATCAAATGTTTTTTTAAAACAGTGTGAACTACCCCCACAATGATTTCTATCAATTTTGCTACGAGTCTTAAACTCAATAAAACATAATCAGTGATAATTTGTTGAATTTTCGCAAATATATATTGGTTGTTGTAAGTCCTCGTTGCCAAGGACAGTACCCATTTTTGATGCCCATTATATATATTTTTTGTTTGTCTATAAAACAGACATTGGTTACTGTAAATTTCACATATTTCAGTTAATATATTTTTGGGATGTTGACAATTTTTATTAATTCTTGACCATTCATTTTTAATGCAGTGTCTCGAATAGCCCTTGTTTTCCAGCTTTCCACAATGAAATACAGTCAATTCTCAAATTATCGCCATTCGAATCATCACCATTTTCGCAATACCGCCATGATTTCCAAGAACGGTTCTCCTGCTATATAAAATCCTCTTTATAACGCCAAATTTGCATACCGCCATCCGCCACCCTGTTTTCACAACAAACGTCCATTTTTAAGTGTCAGTTATCTCGATATACCGCCACAGGTGCATGCGGTCAGTGAAGCGCGGCTAATTGGTTGACGCTATCCCTGTTGTAAAGCATGCAAAGTCAGACAAGGTACATGCAATTAAATAATTAAATAAGAGTTAAATAAACAAGAATTTTAATATGAACTGTTATAAAGATTTTGTTTTCTGTTTAATAAAAATCATTTAGTCACGGCTTTGCCACGAAAGTGGTCGTTGTTAAAGTACGCCGAATACGATATTATTTTGATGATCTCTGCTATAAACAATGCAAAGTTTGCTTGACAAATAATGATACGGTATAAATTGTGAACGTTTCATTAACACTGAATTTATTCAAGAAATAATTTTACGTACTGTCAGCAATATATCATGACGATCGACCCAGCATGTTTATTTTTCAATATCAGACGTACAGATTTATATGCATACACATGTACTTGTGTTTATTTTATTTCTGCACATTTTGTTTTAACGAAATTGTACATAAAAAATTACTTGAAGAATTTTCAAATTTAGAAATATGTTTCATATATATACGTGTACATGTAATTATAAGAATAGAAATGCTAAATGGTATTTCTAAGGACGGTAACTCTTCTTCTTGTTTCCTAAAAGATTGGAAATTCAATTCATCGCCAAATTCATTATACCGCCATGATTTCTAAATTACAAAAGGTGGCGGTTTATCGAGAATTAACTGTAATGCAATGAAAAGTGGTCACATAAACTGTTATCAATTCATTAAATGATGAGAGAAAGTCAAGCTTAATGTCATATGATTTCTGTTTTGTATGTCATCGAGCTAATGACATTATTTATTGAACGTCCCTCGTAGGTGAAAAAAGTGTTCAAGATGCTGCTCATTGACAACAAGAAGAACCTGATGTCAGGAATAGCTTCACTTGATCCTTTTCCAGACAGGGAAGAATTCTATCCATTCACTGCTGTGAAAAATGATGTCAAACTTCTTAAGGGACCTACGACTTTAAGACAGGTATTATCTATGTAGAGCAGAGACAAAGTTTTCAAAGAAATAGTTTAATGAATTTTCACTATCTATAATCAGTTAGGGATGTCAAAATATATATTTTCCTTAGTTGTATATTGGATTGCATTACTTATGGACTTACTAAGTCCTCTTCGTGCGTTGAGCACATAAGGCCTGTGACGAGGACCTTACCATGCCCCAAGTCCATCCATGATCTTTCATTTCTTTTTCTACTGATCATTGCCATGTCTCCTTTGGTCGCCCTTAATGTTTCGGATTCCTAATGGAGTCCATCTTAAGGCTACCCTTGGTATATCTGATGATTTCATTCTCATGACATAGATTCCATTAAAATAAACAAATTCACTATTGAACACTTCAATATCCAAAGAATCCTTAAGGGGGAGGAAATAAGCACCTCCTTTTTACCTGGTCTTATAACCCCTGTTAATCATCTGAAATTAAGTTTGGGATGGGATATTTTGATTTGATTGACAATTAGTTTTCTGCCTTTGTGTTTATCTTGTGTACCTTGTCTTGAGATTGTACCATCCATTGAATTTACATTCAGGCTTATGATTCTTACCCCATATCCCAATGTGAAGCAATCAAAGCCTTTTTAGCTCACCTGAGCCAAAGGCTCAAGTGAGCTTTTCTGATCACATTTTGTCCGGCGTCCATGTTAACCTACTGTGATGAAAAATAGGGAGATTCAGACCTCGAAAGCGGTAGCATTGCGCACGTTGTTTTACGTGTGGATTTACGAAGATGTATATTATGTAAATATGGCCTAAAATGACCACAGCACTGCAATAATCTCAAATATCAACTGCAATGAAGTAGATAGAATACTTTAAGTTTGCCATAAATTATGAAATATAAATATTTTTCATGCTCATCATTTGGCTTTGATTAACTGCTTAACATCCATTTATTAGAAGCATCATCTTTGTTGATATAGTCTGGAAGCAATAATTCTGAATGTTCATTCAGCTGTCAGAAACAGCAGATGATGACATTGTTTAATCCAGATCAGTAGTTCCTATCTTTCATTAATTAAACTGGATTTCCCGCGATTATTGAAAACGAAAGTAGAGATGTAATATACTAGCTGCTCATGCCTCATGGCTTTGTCAACTGAGTGATTAATTTCTAATGACTTTATTGATAAATTTGCGAGCACCTGTGCTTTTGTAGCCAATGTCAAACGTTTTCATTCAATTCTTAAATGCTATATCCCCTTTTTATTGGCAGTGATGTGGACGAAATTTATCATAACCAATGTAATCACTGAGTTTTGCGGTGTTGTCTTTGTCAAATATGTGCTTGAAATCTATGTACACGTCTGTACAGAAAAAACGTTTGTATGCTTCCAGGTCAAATCACGCGATATCTAACGAGATTTTAAAACGAGTGGCTTCAAAATGGATACCCAAGTGAACCAAAAATACTTTTGACAAAACTTTTGTAGAAAAGCGGTAGATTTACGAATAAAATCGGTAGGCAGGAGATGGAGTGAAAAAGCGGTAGACTCCCACCTAAATCGGTAGAGTTAACATGTATGCTGTCTGTCTATCTGTAAACTTTTCACATTTTCGACTTCTTCTCAAGAACCGCTGGGCCAATTTCAACCAAACTTGCCACAAAGCATCCTTGGGTGAAGGGAATTCAAGTTTGTTCAAATGAAGGGCCACGCCCTCATTCAAGGGGAGATAATTGGGAATTAATGAAAATTTGATGGTATGTTTTAAAAATCTTCTTCTCAAGAACCACTGTGCCAGGAAAGATGAAACTTATGGGGAAACATTTTCAAGTAGTGTAGATTCAAGTTTGTTCAAATCATGACCCCAGGGGGTAGGGCGGGGCCACATTGGCCAACCAAAGTTTTACATAGAAATATACTGTAAACGTACTACATTTAATTTAGCGGTGTATTCTTTTTAGCGATTTTGGCGGAAAGCAGAGTCCGCTAATTCAAGTACATCACTAAATGTCTTGTATATTAACTTTTATAACTAGCAAATTCAGACAGCGCTAAATCAAATCTACGCTAACTTGTTGAAAATTGAGTTTCCGCCAAATATCGTACACGCCAAATATTAATAATACATTTACAGTATAGGAAAATTCTATAAAAATCTTCTTCTCAAGAATAGCAAAGCCATAATTGATCATATTTATATGGAAGCATGCTCAGGTAGTGTAGATTCAAGTTTGTTCAAACATGACCCCCGGGGGTAGGGTGGGGCCAAAATGGCCAAGCAAAGTTTTACATAGAAATATATAGGAAAATTCTTTAAAACTCTTCTTCTCAAGAATAACAAAGCCATAATTGATCATATTTATGTGGAAGCATCCTCAGGTAGTTAAGATTCAAGTTTGTTCAAATCATGACCCCCAGGGGTAGGGTGGGGCCACAATGGCCGACCAAATTTTTATATAGAAATATATAGGCAAATTCTTTAAAAATCACCTTCTCAAGAAAAGCAAAGCCATGATTGGTCATGGGACTACTTTTTGATTTAAACTTTTCAATAATAAACCAATTTTTACTTTTTCCTAGCCACGGTGCTCAGGTGAGCAATGTGGCCCATGGGCCTCTTGTTAGCTCTTCTGAGCCAAAGGCTCAAAGAGCTAATGCTATGGCCATTTGTGCGGTGTGCGGTGTGCCTAAACTTTTTAGAATATGGGCCATAACTCAAGAACCCCTTGGCCAATCAGTACCAAATTTGTCACAGGGTATCCTTGGCCCAAGGGCTACCACTTATACTTAGATAAGGGTTGGGACCCTTAAACAAGGGGAGATAATCAGGAAAACAAAACCAAAAGTACTGGTTGCTAAAAAATCTTCTCCATAACCACCAGGCAGATTTTCACCAAACTTACATACAAGGATCAGGATATGTTGAAGATTAAAAATTGTTCAAGGCATGACCCTCGGGCAAAGGGCGTGGTCTCAAGGTCACTTCAAAGTTGACCTAAATTTACAATTAATAAAAACGTGTATATTTTGCTTACTATAAGGACTAGGATCATCAAATCTTGTAAGTTGATGCATCTTATGACTTCACATCATGTTAACTCAAAAGTAGGTCACGGCAACCTACTTTTTAAATTTTGCGGGGATTTGTTTTCAAATTGATTTGAAGGCATGTTTTGGACACTTTAAGGCCTATGATTATCAAACTTTGTAAGTTGATGCATCTTGGGTCCTCAAACAATGTCAACTTAAAAATAGGTCACCCTGACCTACTTTTTGAACATTAATACTTATCCTTTTAAAAACATTAAATCCCATTATTTCAGACACTGGGAGGTTAAGAATCATCAAATCTTGTACTTTGATGTATCTTGGGACCTTAAAACATATTTATGAAAAAGTAGGTCACTGTGACCTACTTTTTGAATTTTGTTGACATTTGTTTTCAAATTGTTTAAAACGCATATTTTGATTACCTTCAGACCCACGATCATCAAACTTGGTCAGTAGATGCATCTTGGGTCTTTGAAAAATGTTGACCTAAAAGTAGGTCATGATGATCTACTTTCGATATTTTATGGCTATATTTGAGTATCTTAGGTATTTATTGGCTTAGAATCATCAAACTTTGTGAGTCGATGCATATATAGATATAAATATATAGATATATATAATATAAATATATATATAATGGAGTCACGGTGACCTACTTTTGACATTTTATGGCTTTATTTAAGTATCTCAGGTACTTATAGGCTTAGAATCATCAAACTTTGTGAATTGATGCATCTTGGGTTTTCGAAGAGTGACGACCAAAATGTAGGTCATGGTGACCTACTTTTGACATTTTGTGGCTATAATTAAGTATGTCTGGTACTTATTGACCTAAAATCATCAAACTTTGTCAGTTTAGGCATCTTGGGTTTTCGGAGATTGTCGACTAAAAAGTAGGTCACAGTGACCTACTTTTGACATTTTATTGCTATATTTAAGTATCTCAGGTACGTATTAGCTTAGAATCATCAAACTTTGTCAGTTTAGGCACCTTGGGTTTGCGGAGAACGTCAACCAAAAAGTAGGTCACTGTGACCTATTTTTGACATTTTATGGCTTTATTTAATTATATCTGGTACTTATTGGCTTGGAATCATCAAACTTTGTCAGCTGAGGCATCTTAGGGTCTCATTGAATGTCCAACAAGAAGTAGGTCACGGTGACCTACTTTTGAATATCTCAGGTACTTATTGGCTTAGAATCATCAAATTTTGTCAGTTTAGGCATCTTGGGTTTTTGGATAACGTCAACCAAAATGTAGGTCACCGTGACCTACTTTTGACATTTGATGGCTATATTTAATTATCTCTGGTACTAATTGACTTAGAATCGTCAAACTTTGTCAGATTATGCATCTTGGGTTTTCAGAGAATGTTGACCAAAAAGTAGGTCATGGTGACCTACTTTTGAATATCTCAGGTATTTCTTTAATTAGAATCATCAGTCTTTGTCAATTACTGTACCTTGAGTTCTCAGAAAATTTCAATCAAAATGTAGGTCACTGTGACCTACTTATGGTATTTTATAATTATATTATTACATCTTCAGTCTTAACTGGCTAAATATTATCAAACTTTGTAAGTTAATGCATTTTGGGTCTTATGATACTAATAGAGTTGGAGGCTTCTAATAGAAGTGATAGATTGTACAATTTATCAGAAGAGCGATTCAAGGCCCGTGGGCCTCTTGTTTTAGTTCACCTCAATGAAGTTGGGGGAGCTTATGTGATACCATCGGCGTCCCAGGTTAAGTTTTTTGGAGCAGTTTTCTTTTTAACCCTCTGGCTGCGGGAAGGACATATATGTCCTTTTACCGTTCGCTGCGGGAGGGACATATATGTCCCTGGCGACGTCATGAATAAGTAATTTATAATATATACTTTATTCAGTAAAATAATTATATTAATCATATTTTTGATATTATAAGTGAAAGGTTTTTGAAGTATTAGCTTTATATTAACTGAAAATAAAAT